GCAGCAACTCAGTCGCCCAATCACCACGCTAGGAGTTATTAGCCAATACAAGCAAGCCGACAGTACATGAGCTAATTTTGCAGTTAGCATGGCTCCTCCCAGCCCCTCCCACATTTTCCCGCCTGGGTTTTTCCCACCTGAGTTTATACAAAATGGCAGGGTTATCTTAAATGGCATTGGTCCTGCTCTCAGAAAAAGGACATTACTTCACTTTCTGTGGTAGTAATTTTTGATGAATAAAATGGAAGAGACAGTATAATCAAAATGTGAAGAAGGGCAAATGTAGCTTCAGTGGTTAGATATGGACAAGCAATAATTCTAGATCTGGAAACTGTAAGTCAGTAAATTTGACATCAGCCTTCTTGTCCTAGAACCACACACACTCATAAAATGCATTTATAACTGAATATTAAATTTACAGATTTTTGAGCATTTGTAAAGCAGGGTAACAACAACTAGGAACTAACGTGAGTTTATTAAGGGCAAGGTCTTTTGAACACCTTCTATCTTTTGGGGGGCAAGAATACTTTGTATGAGAACAAAGCAAAACTCTCTGAATGAGCTTAAGAAGTTCTGACATCACCAAGTAGCCATTTGTCTCTCTAATGTTCCCATGAACAGACTGTGACTAGTGTCTTGGGCAGGTTTCTGCATGCTGATTTGTATCCCACCCAAGGCAGTTGACTATACATCTTTAACATATAATATGCAGTGATTGTATGGTTTTAATACATTTTCTCTTCCTTTAAAGAGTTATATGGCTTGCTTTTTTAATGTCTTTATTAGCTAACAGTGCCGCTTCAGTGTCTCAAATTAAATAAGAGAGCATCAATTAGATAGAACCAGCACCTTTTTATTCTATTAAAAGTTTGAGTATAAGTGATGAGATCTTCCTCCACTTTCTGACACCAAAGTTTGAGTGAACTGAACCATTTCTGAGACCCTCAACAGAGGGCAGGAGAGATCTATGTTATATTTGGGCACTGGCCACTGCATTTTACAGGGAATAATGTGATGAAGAAACCCCTTTGAGTATAGTTTCCTGCTATTTCTGTTTTAATAAATCGAAATTAAATAAATAAGATCTTGTACAGATGGGAAGACTTTTCCCAATTTTTCAAGCCATAAAAAATTGGTTAGGTCAATTAGGAGAATACTGGAAAATAGATTTCATTTAGTTTCACTGACGAATTTTCAACGTCTGCAATGTTAATCTTATGGATAAGATGGTAACATGAGTGGTAAATGATGATACAGTGTATTTGTTGTTGGTTTAGTAGTGGTCATCAAAGAATGCTGTAAAACTCCTACAATTATGATGACTATGTCCAGTTGTCCATCATTGGGAGGATCCAGATGCTGCTCTCGAGCCGTCTTCATTTTATTTCGAAATGGAGGTGCTGAAAGTTTACGCTAAGACATGAAAAATGTCTTCAATGCAGTGGCTCAGATGCTGGCACAGAGGTAGAAAGCCCACTTCTCTGGCTGTGTGGATTACATCTTTACCCTATTGGTTGGGTTTGGGACCCACTCAGCTGAGGATGGAAACTTACCCACCTTGGACTCAATTACCTGATCACTTCAAAAACAATATAGAAACACTGGCCTCTGCCACTAACTTACAGGCTGAGTGGCTATGAGCAAGTTATTTAAACTTAGACTATTTTTATTTACTTTTTTTTTCCTTTTTTTGTCTTTTTTACTGACCGGTAACGGGATCGCAACCCTCGGTGTNCCATAAAAAATTGGTTAGGTCAATTAGGAGAATACTGGAAAATAGATTTCATTTAGTTTCAGTGACGAATTTTCAACTTCTGCAATGTTAATCTTATGGATAAGATGGTAACATGAGTGGTAAATGATGGTACAGTGTATTTGTTGTTGGTTTAGTAGTGGTCATCAAAGAATGCTGTAAAACTCCTACAATTATTATGACTATGTCCAGTTGTCCATCATTGGGAGGATCCAGATGCTGCTCTCGAGCTGTCTTCATTTTATTTCGAAATGGAGGTGCTGAAAGTTTACGCTAAGACATGAAAAATGTCTTCAATGCAGTGGCTCTGATGCTGGCACAGAGGTAGAAAGCCCACTTCTCTGGCTGTGTGGATTACATCTTTACCCTGTTGGTTGGGTTTGGGACCCACTCAGCTGAGGATGGAAACTTACCCACCTTGGACTCAATTACCTGATCACTTCAAAAACAATATAGAAACACTGGCCTCTGCCACTAACTTACAGGCTGAGTGGCTATGAGCAAGTTATTTAAACTTAGATTATTTTTAATTAGGAGAAAATAATATTGGTATGTCAGGGTAGTTGTATGTTAAAATAAACTACCTGGAATATCTTAGTGCTTCCTAGGAATAAAAAAAAAAAAAAAATGTTTCTTTCTCTATCACCGTCCTTGTGTCCTGTACGAAGAGGCTATACTCTCTTCCCCGTAATGTCCCAGCAAAGAGCTCTGTTCATGCTCCCATTCAACACTGAAGAATTTATTATGCATACTTGCCCAAATCACACAATTAAATACATTGCTTTCTTGGAGATTTAGAGTAGAAATTTTTCCCTTCTCTGAAGTTTTCAGTCTCCTAATGTGAAGTGTCTTTATTGAAATAATGTTTTACATTTTCTGAATGCTTCCCTGTACCTTCGTGGTAAATAGGAGTGATGCATAATGTGCCTTCAAGAGTCTATTCTGTGAACTCCCCTTATAACACTTTTTCAATTTATTTCTATATACAAACATCCTGTCCCAGTTTACAAGCCCTTTAACCTCCTTAGATGTCTTCTGCTGTTTATTTAGATGTGTAATACTCCATCTCTGCATATTTCCTGTAGTGCATGTACTCTTCCTCTCTCCTTGGCTGCAGTTCCTTAGCAAGGGGAGGATGTGTTGGAGGGAGCAGGTGGCAGCTGTGCCAGGATAGGAACTGGGTCTGGTGTAGCACTCTTTCTCCCAGGGACTGGATGGAGGTGATGACACTGTGCTGGGAAAGGTCCCAGACAGCACAGGGAATGGACACACCATGCTGGTACCTGTTCTCTATCTTGCAGTTCACGTTCTGAGTCTGGACACTGCTTGCTATGTGAAATACATAATTTGTGGGAAAATGTAGGATTCTTAGACACCCTGAAGGCCCACTGAATATAAAAAAGTTTGTAGATAGTGTGTTCTATTATTTAATGATAGTCTGTGAAGGTGTGTTTTCC